CGCATCTCCAGGAATGTCTTGGTCACTAAATGCTGCAACAATATTCTGCCCACTGCCACTGTTCTCAAAAGGTGGAACTACCAAACCCATGATACTTGCTGTCTCTGCCAGATGCCTGAAGATTGCGAGCATCTCTTTCGATGTTCTCATCCATCACGACTCAGTTGGCGTAGGCAGACCATTACATCTTTACGCCAACGGATGTCCACACTTGGCTTCCGCCCAATTGCCATTGACACTCTTGCTACATGTCTTACTGAATGGCTAGACACTGGCACAGTTTCTCCAGAGAAATATCCTACATCCCTTCACCCAGCAGTTATCCATTTTCAGAGCGAGATTGGGTGGCACCACGTGTTTGCCGGTCACATTTCACTCCAGTGGTTTACTGATCTTGATCTTCATTCTAGCTCCTATTCCCCGCTTGTGTTGGGGGGTTATCTTGTGGAATTCTTTCTTACCTCTTATATATCATTATGGGAACAGCGCAATAAAGATCTTCACGGCTACACACTTACCCAGAAGCAAGCAAAGCATCGACAGAGAGTGGTGCAGAAAATTTGAACCTTATTTGCATTGAAATCCCAGACATGTCCATCCCACGCCCACCTATTCCCAGAAGATATGGAAACCTTTTTATCAACTGCATCTACTTCCACGCTCTCATATTACCTTCGAGTCTACAAGAAGACAATTCTAGCAAGTGTCAATCAAGCCTTGAGTGCTTCTGTCTCCAACACTCGGCCTATTACCCAGTACTTTATGCCAATGCCACATAGTAAGCAACCACCGGAGAGCGTCACACAAGATTCACTGGTCTTTGACGCCTACTCCAAAAAGAAGCGACACAAACAACCTGTCATGCCAGATACTTCTGTGGCTCCTCCTGTCAATTCTTCCAGTTTACTTCAAACCAAGCTCAGTCAATACTTTTAATTCCAGTGAAACAAACCCCTGGTCGCAATTCCACTAACACTCCTCGGAGGGAAATGCCACCCCTTGGAGCAGCTAGCAGCATTCTTTCCAACAAAAGCTATGGTTCTGGCCATATAGTGCCTCTTCTAGTTCACGAGGTTAAATATAATATTAAGATTTTTTTTTCAAAAGACCAAGAACCACCATGGTTGGAGGACGCCGGTGGTGATGCTACAGAACGCTGGGAATGTTGACAAGGCGGAGGTTGCTGATGCAGAGGTTGCTGATACAGAATCCTTGCTGATACGGAACACTTGCTGATAGGGAGGACGCTTGCTGATACAGAGAATGCCGATACGGAAAATGCCAATAGGAGTCGCTGATAGGAGTTGCTGATACAGAGGATGCTGATACGGAGGATGCTGATACAGATGCTGTTAAGAGTTGCTGTTACAAGTCGCTATGCTGATACAGAGGATGCTCATACGGGGGACGCTGATACTACAACAAGAAGTTGCTGATACAATAGTAAGATGGGATATAAAACACAAGTACCAATACTATCTCTCCTATTTTCATGCTTTTATCATTATTTCTATTGCAAGGAGCACCATGGTTGTTGGCAATTGTCTTGTATTTCAACACTGTATTGTTGTACTACAGTAATCCAATTTTTGCTCGGTCGAGCACGTGTCGGAGACCCTAAGTAGGTGAAAAAATGAGGTATTTAAATAGGCTCAACGGACAAAAATGAAAGTGGTACTTTGGTACTCACTTAGATTACTTCAGTACCACATCATGGTACTTCAGTACCATCTCTTAATATGTACTTCCAGTACGATGCTCTACTATCTACGGTGCTGCTGCTAGTAGTAGCTAAGAGTTGCTGATACGGAGGATGCTGATACGAGGAGTTGCTGATACGAGCCAGTGATACGAGGAGCTGCTGGTGATATGAGCCAGTGATACGAGGAGCTGCTGATACGAGCCAGTGATACGGAGGCTTGCTGATACAAGCCAGTGATACGGAGGATGCTGATACGAGCCAGTGATACGATGCTGATACTACGAGCCAGTGATACGGAGGATGCTGATCCGGAGGCTCGATCCGGAGGCTTGATCGCTGATACAGAGGAGGCCCACTGATACGGAGGATCCAGGGAGGAATAAGAGCCCATTCCCCTGTATCAGATGAGGCAATGCTTGTAATTCATTTGCTGGATCCAGATAGGGACCAGGGAGGGATAAGAGCCCATTCCCCTATATCAGAGGATGCAGTGCTCGTAGTTTGGTTGCTGAAACAACAAAGAACAACGCTGATACGGTGGACGCTGATACAGGAGAGGACAGTACCGATACGGAGAATGCTGATACGGAGAATGCTGATACGGAGGATGCTGCTACGATTTTCTGATAATACGGACAACAACGCTGATACAGAGGACGACAACAACGCTGATACAGAGGACACTTACAGTTCTTCAAAGGAGGCCCATTCCCATGGTCAAAGTGCAAAGAAGCCTTTGAAAGTGAGCTAGATTTAAATAATGAATACTGGAGCAGCAGCAGTTTCGCGAGTGAAATCCAAAGAAAAGCAGCACAGCATAGTAGAATGTAGTACAGATTCTACTGAATGATGCATTTTGAAAGTGGTACTTTGGTACCATCTTGTACTAAGCCTACGTAAATCACGTAGGAATACAGGATTTTTGTTGGTACCATCTTGTACCAGGCCTACGTAAATCATGTAGCAATACAGGTTTTTTGTTGTCCCCCTGGAAAAGCAGCAACAAACAGCAGTCAACAATGGGAAAACAAGGGTCTCCTCCACTCTGCTCAACCTTGCAAGCATTGGATTACACAACTAACACCCCTCTCCTCTTGTCCTCCTCCTCGGCAAGTGAAACTGCTGAATTTTGCTGTAGGAAAGGCTCCTTTTCCTCGGCCGGGGGCCTTGGAAAAGGAGCCTTTCCTACAGCAAAATTCAGCAGTTTCACTTGCCTCGGAGTCGTACGATTTTGGTGGCACGTGCGGTCCCTAAAAGAAAATCAAATTTTCTTTTAGGGACCGCACGTGCCACCAAAATCAGAGGATGGGGTGTTACTTTTAGTACCACGTAGTACGGTAGTTTCCTGCTGTTTAATGTCAAGAAACTCCTAAGGGATGCATTGGTTTTTCCTGTTATTTTATGGCAGAATTTTGATTACTTAGAGAATGCAAGGAAATGAGTTTACAAAATAGCAAAATGCAAGGAAATGAGTTTACAATTGACTAAAAACAGAAATATGCAAGGAAATGAGTTTATGTCATTTGTAAAGCGAGGAAATGGGTTAATGGTCCCAGAAAAATTTAATCCCAGAGATTGTTTTAATTTTATTTTTACTGTCACTCTCTAATTTTCAAACTTCACATGCACATCTCTCACATAGTTGAGAATCAAGTAGTAAGAAAATTTTCACTGGTATTGTTCTCTGCAGTTCAAACTTGATGGTGCTGACACCACCACAGGGCTGGTGGTACTAGTAGTAGTAGTAGTACACGAGTACTACTAGTAGTAATACTAGACTAGTAAATACTAGTAGTACTAGTACTGTATTTGCAGTAGAAATAGTCTGTCCCTTGTCCAGTCACTCCCGCCAGTCTAGTCCTTAGCAGAACTTCAAACTTCATGTCCTTCATCCATTTCTCCCACTAATTTCCCAGCAGTAGTAATTTCTAGTACTATTACTAATAATAATAATCTACTAGTAGTACTAGTACTAGTACTAGTCAATATTCAACAGTAAAAAGGTACACTATCATTACATTTGATACTTAAAATATTGGCATATTCAGAATCCTCATGAAACATTGGGTTAGACAGTGTACTAAAAAATTCTAATGGTAGTACTAGTATTTTTGATAATATTGTTACTGCTTAAAGGTTGGATAGTTTTACTAGTATTATGCAGTAAAAATGAAATTGAAAATAATCCTTGGGGTTAAATTTTTTTCGATGCGTTGCGCACCCCTCGAAATTTAGGTAACAAGACCAAAAAGCGCAGGATATGGATTATTCTGAAGAATATACGTAGGAATACAGTTATTATCGGGACCAACATTCGAAATTTTATCATTAGGCTGAATCTTTCTCAATAGTTTCTTTTCTTTTGACCAATTTTGATACTTTAAAGCAGCATGATTCGAATTCATTAATTGTCAAAATACAAAAACTGTATCAGTCGATTTAGTCGTTCTAGCATCAGGACGAAACAGCAACTTTTTTGGAGGAAAAAAAATTGAATGAGGTAGAAAATTAATTTTGAAGTCAGGCCGGCTCCAAAGTAAAATAGTGAAATGACGACACAAAAATGCCATGCTTCACACTCCATGGTACCGGTAGCAACTAGCTGCTTTATCTCAAAAACTAGAGAGCAGGAGTACATTTTGCAGGTTTTTGCAGTACAATAGCACGCACGAGAGTACTAAATGTTCGAGGAATCTTCCTCACATGCATGCCAGTTCTCCGAGGTTCTCTAGTTAGCATTTTTATTGTCACCAAAATGTGCTCGGGATTCGGTGGAAGGATTTACCAGCAGCATGGCATGTGCCCAACAAAGGAGGGTCTTCCATGCTAAAAAATGACTACGATTACTACTACTACTAGTTGCACTTGTCGAAGCAACCGTCTTATTCGCAAGCAGAATCCGATCCTACACTGGCAATATGATTGTGCACAAGATTACAACATCGTACTCGACACGGAATTGTATGGTGTTTTCTTC